AATTTGTTTGAAGCTGCAGATATTAAATGTAAATTTTGGATTATATTAAATGTATAGCCTTTCCTCTTACCCTTGTGTGCAGTTCGGCATACCAAGAGGGACAGAATGACATGCTGACAGGTGAGAAAAGCTTAGAGGTGGAAAAGAACAGGTGTTCTCTGTGTTTTAAAGGAAAAGCTGAAGTTTTTCAGGTTTGGGTTCCTGTTTGGATTTTTTAAACCCTTCATCAAAAAACCCAGAGAAAAAGTTGACTTTGTTGCATTATGTTGTTCTTGTAGCCAGAAGTCTTTCCTGTTGATTGTGGGATCCACTGTAGTTACTTTGTTAGTCTGACTTCAGTGCCAGGGAAGCTGATGAAGCAGATCATCCTGAGTACCATTATGCGGCACATGCAGAACAGCCAGGTGATCAGGCCCAGTCAGCATGGGTTCATGAAGGGCAGGTCCTGTTTGACTAACCTCATCTCCCTCTTATGACAGGCTGACCTGCTTATTGGACGAGGGAAGGCCTGTGGATATTGTCTACCTTGACTTTATCAAGGCCATTGACAAGGTTTCCCACAGTATTCTCCTAGAGAAGGTGGCTGCTCGTGGCTTGGATGTGCACACACTTTGCTGGATAAAAAGCTGGTTGGACAGCTGGGTCCAAAGAGCTGTGTTCAGTGGAGTTAAATCCAGTTTGGGGCAGGTCACGAGTGGTGTTCCCCAGGGCTCAGTGCTGGGGCTGCTCCTGTTTAACATCTTTATTGATGACTGAGATGAGGGGACAGAGTGCACCCTCAGTAAGTTTGCAGATGACACTGAGCTGGGTGGGAGTGTTGATCTGCTTGAGGGCAGGGAGGCTCTGCAGAGGGATCTGGAGAGGCTGGATCGATGAGCAGAGGCCAATGGCATGAGTTTCAATGAGACCAAATGTTGGGTCCTGCACTTTGGCCACAATAACCCCTGTCAGCGCTACAGGCTTGGGGAGAAGTGGCTGGAGAGCCAGGCTTGGGGAGGAGTGGCTGGAGAGCTGCCCAGCAGAGAGGGTGCTGCTTGGCAGCAGCTGAACATGAGCCAGAGGTGTGCCCAGGTGGGAAAGAAGGCCAGCACCATCCTGGCTTGTATCAGGAATAGTGACCAGCAGGAGCAGGGAGGTGATCCTGCCCCTCTACTTGATGGTGAGGCTGCACCTCAAGCACTGAGTGCAGTTTTGGGCTCTGCACTATAAGGACATTGAGGTGCTGGAGAGGGTGCAGAGAAGGGCAACTAGGCTGATTAGAGGTCTGTAGAAGAGGTCTTATGAGGAGAGGCTGAGGGAGCTGGGGCTGTTGAGCCTGGAGAAGAGGAGGCTGAGGGGAGATGTCATTGCTCTCTACCACTACCTGCAAGGAGGTTGTAGTGAGGTGGGTGTTGGCCTTTCCTCCCTAGTGACTAGTGCTAGGACAAGAGGAAATGGGGTCAAGTTGTTGCAGAGGAGGTTCAGATTGGATATTAGGAAAAATTTATTCAGAGGAAGAGTGGTGAGGTATTGGAACAGGCTGCCCAGGGAGGTGGTGCAGGCACTGTCTCTGGAGGTGTTAAAAAAATGGGTGGACATGGTGTTTCAGGAGATGGTTTAGTGGTTAGGGGTTGTAGGCTGGACAGTTGGACTTGGTGATCCTGAAGGTCTTTTCCAACCTTGATGATTCTTTGATTCTATCCTCCCATGTCCTTGTTGCTCCCAGACTGATGGACTTCTGCATGCTGTCTTTCAGGCAGCTCCTGGGGAAGATTTTTAAATTCTTGTGGCTCTTGGCTCATATGTGTGATATTTCACACAGTACTGCAGAGCTGAATGTGCTCAATACCTTTGGGAGAAGTACTGCTAGCATGCATTCTCCTTCAGAAATCTATGTGTCAGAGTTGAAAGGAATGGAGGTATTTAAGCTTTTGAAGTTCGAGGGTCACTGGGAGATGTTTCAAAGCAGGTTCCAGAACTGTACCTTGTAATCTTCTGCCACAGTTCTGGAGACTGTAAGTTTGCCTTCTTTTTTTGATACACATACTCATTTCCATCTTAGAGGGAATATATTTTCTTTATTCCTCCATACTCTGTTTTTTCTCTCTGTGTGTAAAAGTCTAAATTTTAAACTAAGCAGAATCATTTGTGTTAAATCTTCTGTGGTGTGTGCTGGTCTGCCTTCTGCTATAGAGAAACTCTTGGACTTTCCATTCTGTGTATGTGGGAAGGTATTTTTGTGTTACTGCTTACTGTTTTAGTTAGGCTAATGAAAACAGGTGGTTTGTGCTGAGTTCCTTGGTGTCAGTGAGGGATCAATGAAATCTGTAATGTATGGATAAATACTATTGAACTAGACAATTTCTAATATTGATTTTTGTTTTTATTCCAGGAGTGTACTCCGGAGAACCTGGAACTGAAAAAGAAGATTTTCGGTCAGCTAGATCTTATTGTTGATGACAATGTTATCTTGAGCAGCTCAACCTCTTGTCTCTTACCTAGCAAGTTGTTCACTGGCCTTAAACATGTTAAGCAGTGTATCGTGTCACATCCTGTAAGTATGGCAGCACATTTTGGTTTTGTAGTAGTACGTATGTTTGACTAAACTGCATCCCAAACTCTTCCCTGCAGACTTGTGAATTATAGAAGGATATATGGAATGCTTGTGTTAGTGTGCAGGGGCCTGAATTTTCAGAAAAGATTTTGTTTGGTCATTCTGTGAGCAGAACCTCAAAATGCTGAAGGGCATCTGTGAGCCTCTGTAGAGGTCTGTATGGGGCTGCCAGACAGCAGTTTATCTCATCTGTGCTCAATATGGAAGAGCATTTTGTCTTGATAACTGGGATTCTTATTGCTTCTGTTTTCCACTCCTCAGTAGCTAGTAAATGTTAGCCTATGCTAGTCTGGTGTTTGACAGATCAGTTGAAAGGGCTGTGGTTATGAAGGTCTGCAGTTATCTGGAAAAAGGTGCTGCTCTGACGTCTGCAATTTGGGAACTACTTATCTTTCCAAGCGTAGTGTCAGTTCCCTAGTCATGCCCACGAGTGGCAGTGTGAACACCAAAATACAGCACTGCTTTACTATGACGTCTCTACCTATGGCTTAATGCTGCAGTGCCAAAGTATTTGGTCAGACCCTTTCTGACATGCCTCCACCAGCACCATTGTACCTTGGGGTAACTGGGAAGCAAAAAGAGCAAAAGGATTGGTTTCTTTCTGTATATTTAGTTTTCATCCCCTTTTAATACATAATTTTTTTTAAAGGGTCAAACTTCAAAATATTTATCTGTGCCTAGGTTTAGCTTTTCTCCAGTCTAAAATTCAGTAGTTCCTTATCTTATATTTCCAGATAGTAACTTTCTGTACTGCAAGAGATACTGTCTCTTCTAGACTTCTGGTTTAAGTAACTGTAACTGAGATATTATTTTTTAACCAATTCCAGGGCTTTTGCCTATTCTCTGACTGTTCGTCAGTCTTTGATTTTATATTACTCTTTCTTACTGTTTCCCCAACTTGGTATGTACCAATTGACTTGTTTAGTCTAGCTGCGGTCTTCATAGGAGCCACTTCTGCAACTAGGTTTTATCAGATTTGGAAAGGTAGCTAGTCTCTGTGTAAACTTTTTCTAGGCTGCTGTTGTAAGAATATTTCTATTTTCCAAAGCAGATACACTGGAGTGTCTTAAAATGTCTAATTGTTCTGAAATGGTTTTGCAATCCAACTGAGACTATTTTCCTAGTAATCTCAGCTTCACTCAAGGAGGAGTGTACTGGAGAAGCTGTGAGCCAGTGTTCTCTTTCAGGGGCATATCTGCATCTCTTATATCAGGAAATATGCTGGCTTTGTAATAGTTACTGACTTTTGGTGTTTTTTAATAATGACCTTACTAACATGTTGAAGACAACATCAGAACATAGAGAATGGTGGCTGTAGGAAGTAGCCAGCCTAGGAAGGCACTGTGAAAACAAGTTTTGATATGCCAGAAAAATTTAAAGCTAAAGTTGTAAAGCTTCTGGCACAGATGAGCATGTTGAGGAGAAATGAAATGCTGAAAGGGTAGAAGGAGCTCATCCTGTTGCTTAACATTGCAATAGGTTCAGTAATTAGAAAAAATAAATGCAGTCCTGTAGCACAGCTGTGTGATAGAAATTCATGCAGTACTTTTGGTACAGCTGTACTCTGCAAGCACTTGCAGTATTGGTGAATGTCTGCAGAGTGTTTCTTTTCTCATGTCCTGTGTATGCCTGCAAGGTCACGCAGCCAGAAGGAGTGAGGTAGAGGAGACTGTGTGCCATTGAATAACGTCCCTTGCTATACAGAAAACCATATAATCAAATCACTTAAAAAATTTATTCAGATCTATCTTTTACATTTATTCTCTATTCTATTAATTCCACTACTCCCGTTGGAAGTTGTTTGTGTCTTTTAAATTTTGTTCCAATTTTATTAGCAGTCCATCAGATTTAATTTGATGTTTGTTGGTAGCTTAACTAGCCCTCTGCATTTATTTTGTCATATCCTTTCTTAGCTTTCATTTTGTAAGGCTGAGTAAGGTGTAAGCTCATATGCTCCCTGAAGAAAGGCTTTGCATCTCTTCAAATTTTAGAAACCTTCTACCACCCTCAATTTTATCCATGTTTTACCACTTTTAGATTTACCAACATCTGTTACCTCATTCCTAAAAAACTGTCGTCCTCAGTGTGATCGTGAACACACCCGTATACTCCCCATGCCAAGTTCATGAAATAGAATATTTCAATAAGACGATTGTCAACACTGTTCTTGGGAGAAATTTATAATAGCGTCAGTCTCTCTCAACAATTAACTTGTCCTCTTCCTGATTGGAATCTGCGATATACTTGAGGGTTAGAAAAGGCTTCAGAGAACTTCTTGGTCCTTGAAGTGGTTTGGGTCTTGCTAAATTGCCTGGCATCAGACCTGCAGTGGTGTCCAGCATGCCACTCTCAGCACTGGTGGTGGCACTGACAAGGAGGCCAATATGAGAGCGTTTATGTTGAAACACAAGGCATTTTAAAGGGGTTGAAGTAAGTGTGTTACATCGATAGTTAAAGCAGATGTAGCCTACAACAGGTTTTGTGTTGGTCAGACCCTACTGTAAAAGGTACCGTGTAAGTACTGAAAAGAGAACATAGAGAGGGGAAGGACTGCATGCATGTTGCTGTGATCCTGTACTTGCATTTGCGTTAGCACAGTTAAGAGTGTTTGACTAGAAGGGAGAATGGAAAAAGAAAGGCTACATAATTACCATCCTTTAAATGCCAATGTTATTTCTGCTAATAAATTGCGTTAGCTCCTTCTGCTGCCTGGAAACTAGAGGGGGAGCTGAGTTTTAACACCTGAAGAATATGGCTGCAGGACTGCTGCTTTTGTAAAGGACATGCAGGCAGTTCTGCAACACTATGACCTCAAGACTTTTTAGCTGTTAGTAGGATGTTCTTTAGAATTGTTTTGTTTATCTTTTCAAAAATACATTACACAAAGGTCATGACTTGATGAGAAAATACATTTGGGAATAGTCAGAGAGAGGTTTTGTTTGTTTGGGTTCTTTTTAAGTAGGTACAGTGTTTGAAGGTAACCTGTTCTGCAGCTTTTTCAAAGTATGTTTTATGTGATATTTGTTACTGCATTTAGCATATATTTGCAGGCTTGGACCAGTAGCAGTTTGTTTGTTAAGTGTTGTATCTTGCAGGTGATGTTTAGCAATAATTTTGTTATAAGTTCCTGAATATCTGAAAGGAAATGGCTTGCTTAATTTGGAAAGACAGGTGGTGGCCAAATGTCTTACAACAAAAACCAGCTTCAATATTGAGATAACACTGGCTACTCAAGTCAGTATAAAGTCTTCTCATATTGTTTGAATGCTATAATCTTTAACGTAGCTCCATGAACTTTGCCGCGGTTAAAACAGAGTTAGATTTAATGCAAGATCAATTCTTTTTAAAATTTGAATTAATACAGCAGCTTTTATTGGATTGGTGAAGTCTTTCAGGGTCTAAAGGCCAGACTTGCTGTGTTCACCAGAAAATAGCCATGGTTAGTAGCAAGCTATAAAGATGATTTCTGTGAACTTGTTCTGTTAATCTGTTAATAGCTGACATTCTTAATTTGTGTTTCTTCTTGAGGTAAATCCACCTTACTTTGTGCCATTGGTTGAAATTGTTCCTCATCCAGAAACAGATCCTTCTGCTGTAGAGAGAACATATGCCCTGATGAAGAAGATTGGTCAGTCTCCTGTCAAACTAAACAGAGAAGTTGAGGGGTTTGTTCTGAATCGGCTCCAGTATGCAGTGATAAGTGAAGCCTGGAGACTTGTGGATGTATGTATATTAATTTTTTTTCCAGCTTCTATACACGTACACTGCTAGTTTGATAGATTTGACAAGTGACATTATAGATTTAAATTTCCTATAATTTTGTCATCTTTGTTAAACTGTCCCTTATAAACATGAAATATATGCCAACGTGTAAATTAAAAACAGTAAGAATTGTTGTGAGTTATAAATAGCGAAGACCAGGAAAAACAAAGTTATGTGATCATAACTATCTTTTATCCTGTTTTCTTCTCAGAATACTGTCATTTTCAGGACAATCAAAAGAACAACTTCAAAAGCACATAAATGAAAATACTTACTTTGCTTTTTTGTAGGTTGTCTAATCACTTCCTGTTATTTTCTGAATGTTGCTGGCCTACTCTATGGTGGTTATGAAAATAATATTTTCTTTTTGTTTTTTCAGTAACTGCACTCATAAGTTCAACAGTTATTTGATACTTGTAGTTAAAGACAGATTTCTCCTCCTCCTGCCCATTCAGACTACTAGCTGAGAATAATTTGTTTATCCCCCTTCACTTTTTCCCACAGTTACCTCTTTTGTGCTGCAAAGTCTGATCTTTCATCAGGAAAAGCTGAATTATGAGTCTATTGCTGTTCTGTTGAGAAGAGATTCAGTTGGGCTTACTTTTTTGTCATGGAGAGTGTTTTAATTTTTTAAGCTGTTTAGAACAACCATGGACATAAATAAAGATTAAGAACTTGAAACTAAGGTGATAGTAATATATTGTAAACAAAGTAACTCTTTTTCCAAAGCAGTATCTACACATGGTTGCTGAACTGTTTTTACTTATCTCTAGATAGCTTCCATTAGCAGCACAATGTTAACACTATAAAGGAAGAGGTGAATAATAATAAATAAAATAATATTGTTATGAAGGAACCAGTCTTCTACTGGAGATGTTTCTTTAAACTAAAAAGTTTCTGTTATTAAAGCTAATAAAAATTCTTAGGTATATGATAAGCAAAAACTCTTCAGAAAGCTGTAATAATATTGAAAGACAGGGTAGAAAGGATAGTGAGCTCTAAATTTTTTTTTTAAACCCTAATAGCCCCAGATTAATAATAGGTTTTGAGAAAAAAAAAATGTGAAAATTACTACTGAAAACATTAACAAGGAAGGTAGGTTCACAGTGAAAAAGGTAACTGAACAGCAGTGTTCACTGCTAAGGAGATTCCCACACTGTAACCTTTCCTTGAAAGGAAAGGATCTGATGTAGAACAAGTCATGCTAAGGAAAAGATTTTTGGAGCAGAAAAGAGTAAATGAACAATAGCAGACTGTGAAGGAGAAATGGAATTTATCCTAGAATCCCATATATGAAGTTGCTTAAGTACTGATTGAAGTACTATTTCACACACCAACTAGCATAATACCACAGAAACAGAAGTTAGCACATAGTCTGACCCCTTCTTATAGAGTTCAAAGCATTGGGAAACTGTGGACCAGGAAGTCTATAATATGTAAGCATATTGATGCAATACACGTGGCCAGGAGTGCCTCAAAAATATAGTAGGATTCTTTCATGTCTCTGAGAGCCATAAACTGAATTGTGGAAGTCACTGCTGTAGAAACCTAGGATGCTGAAAATATGAAAGGATTCTGTGAACTTTTCAACACACTCCTGTTACAGGAAAACCATGCAGAAGCAACCTTCAGATGTTGAAGTCTCACAGACTGGACTGCTGGAAGCTGAGGCGGTGCATGTCATTGAAAGTATCACTCTTTATTTTAGTCTTCAGTTATGAAAATAGTATAAGAACACTTAATGAAAAGAAGAATTATAAGAACACTATTTGAAAAGCAGTATTTATTTGAGGTGAACCTGCAGGATGAACCTGTATTGACCCTTTCTGTGTGTGTGGCGATAGGTGGGTAATAACAAAATAGTGCTTGAAGCACTGAGAGATAATGAAAGTTACTTTTGTGGTGAATCATCAAAGCTTCCAAGTTAGTTTCTGTATAATTTCATTGCTTTGCGGGCAAGTACACATTTAAACTGTAGCAACTTTGGCTGTATTTCTATTCAAAAAGCCTGAACAAATAGTGGCTATCAAAGGTGTATAGCTTCAACTGTGTGACTTCAGGAGACATGTTGCCTTTGAAGGGAGGAGAATCATTGAGAGCTGCAGGCCTGGGGCAGTTTCAATGTTTCTACTGTTGTGCTGCCAATTTATTAATTTTTACTGCAAGTTATGAACTTTTGGTGTTTCCACTTTCAAAGTGGAGAAAAATACTTCTTGCTTCTAATTGTAAAGTCACTTTTCAGTCCTTATTGTTGAAAATGTCAGCCTCCCCACCTCTCAGTCTTTGAGAGGCTCCTAAAAATCAAGTTTTAATCACACTGATTCCTTCTGGAAACAGAAGTTTTCCTTACCCTAAGAAGCAATAGGGCTGGAAGACAGCTATTAACAGGAGGGACATATTAATAAGCATTCTTTCCAAAATTACCATACTAGTAATCCTTTTGTAGTTAGGTAAATTGCATGTGTTGGATGAGGCAATCCAAGTCAGATGGATGCAGAGCATAAAGATTCTTATGAAATTATTTAAGAACACTGTGGTATTTTGATGCTAATAATTCTATGTTACTTCCTACTATTGCAAAGGAACAATGAAAGAGAACCATAAAACATAATTGCAAATTTACTTGTTCTGTGGGTGGTTGCAAAGGTCTGAACAAGTATCTTTGTATGCCTACGGTTACCTGTCATAAATTGATCAGTACTCCTATTTCTGTTAGAAGTTTTATTTAATTTTAATGTGGTGAGTGCTTGAGAAAGATCTGTGGTGTTGCTGGAGCATTGTTATATTTGCACTGCAGTGCATCAGTTCTTTGCCACATAACAAGATCATAAATATTCCAGATACAAATGTGTGTGAACCAGGAGAGAAATAGAGCAGCAGTCTCCAAGTGTTCTGAAGCCACTTGAAAGGATCTTAAATGAGCCCCTTTAAACATGTAAACAACTATCTGTTTGTTTGAGGACTTTGAGATGCAAGCTTGAAAGTTCTTCTCTGTGTCCTTGTCTCAAAAAATATTTATAGTAGAGGTGGAGTGATCTTAGACATTTGCACATGTTCTTACATCAGAGTCCAAGTATAGACACCTTTGCATGGACAGTCTTAGGGTTTTGTGGTTTGTGGTTTTTGTGTGTGTGTTTTGGGTTTTTTTGTCAGTTTAGCTTATTTCATTCAAGAAACTAGTGGAAGCTTCTCCAGTAGAAGTGTTAATGTACTGTTAAAAAAGGGACTGGTGGTAGGACAGACATGCAGGTACAGCTTTACTAACAGTTACCTGGAACACTATCACAAGTGGACTGAGCAGCTTGCAAGACTTTAGTTCTCAAATGTAGCCCAGCAACTGATGACCTGCCAGTCTCTTTTCTTTAGCAATGCTGTGCTAGGATGTGTGATGGGTGAGATCATATGATGAGAGTAGGGCTCTGATGCAGAGCATCAATGTGGGGCTCTATAGAAAGCAATGTGGTAAATATGGCTGCTTGCTGGATGCTGTGTGGAGCTTACTAACTTATGCCATGTGGGTCAAAGAGTAGGAGAGGCTATGACACTGCCAGAAATCTGAGGTAAGGCCTTGCCAGCAGGTTGGGTTCAAGCTCAGACTCCACATGGTGCTCAAACTGTACATGGGTGCGGATGCTGGAGCAGAAACAAGTGTAATTCAGTGCAAAGTAATGAAAGTAGTAATGAGAAACGTGTGTATTGGGATACAGTTTGTGTTTGCCAAAAGTGCTGGGGTCCCCAGGAGCATGCACAAATACAGGTTGGGCAGAGAATGGATTGAGAACAAACAACCTTGAAGAGAAGGACCTGGCAGAGCTGGCAAAGTGCACTTGCAGCCCAGAAAGCCAACAGAAAACCCCTTTATTTTCCCCCCTCTACTCCACTCTTCTGAGACCCCACCTGGAGTACTATGTCCAGTCCTGGGGTCCCTAACATAATAAGGACATGGAGCTGTTGGAGCAGATCCAGAGGAGCACCACAAAGATGATGAGAGAGCTGGAGCATCTCTCCTATAAAGACAGGCTGAGAGAGGTGGGGTTGTTCAGCCTGGAGAAGAGAAGTCTCTGGGGAGACCTTATAGTGGCCTTCCAGTACCTGAAGTGGGCCTATAAGAAAGCTGGGGAGGGACTTTTATAAGGGCATGTCATGATATGAAGAGGGGAGATTTAGGTCAGACATTAGGAAGAAATTATTTAGTGTAAAGTTGATGAAACACTGATACAGGTTGCTTAGGGTGGTTGTGGATGCCCCCTCCCTGAAAGTGTTCAAGGGCAAGTTGGACGGGGCTTTGAGCAACCTGGTGTAGTGGAAGATGTCTCTGCCCATGCAGGAGGGTTGGAACTAGAATGATCTTAATGGTTGCTTCCAACCCTAGCCATTCTGTGATACATGAGGAGGCTGGGATTTTGAAGCTGGGCAGAAAATGGGTGCTGTGAATGCAGGACTGGGCCAAATGTGGGAGTGGGAAGTACAGGGTTAAGGTGATGAAAAGCTAGGAGGCCTGAAGAAGATATGCATTTGTAGGAAAGTGGGAGAATGGGAAGTCATTTGTAGAGATACATCTGGATGCTGAGAACTTTGGCCATGTAGAGAATTCGGAATGTGGATTTAGGGATGCGAAGTTTGACTTTATAAGTACGTAGAAGCAAAGACTGTAGATTCATATATGGACCTAAAAGAAGGAGTTCAAGGAAGTGCTCCCCTTTGAGGCAAGAGTGCTACAATGAGATGTCACATAAGGCTAACATATCCAAAATGCAACAGGATGTCTCTTTGAACATGGTTTTGACTTGAAAGTTACAAGCATTCGGGCAGTGCAGGTTTTTGTGGCAGGAACTTACTGCATCATTTATCTCTGCCTCCCCATGCTCCACATTCATTACATGAAAAAACAGATGCTAGAAACGCTCCAGTCTGTCCCTTTAAGGTCATGTATTTCAGAACTTTCTGTAGGACCACAGAGC